AATCTGCTCCTACTTTTGTATATTACATGTAAATGTTCAGTAAGTGTCTTTCATTTGCATCATACAGGCTTGCCTTTTCTGTCTTTTTTTAAATGCTTTAAGCAGATATGCACATCCATCCTACCACAAACAACAGTAGGTGCATACTCAACCACATGCTAAGGAGATTGCAGATAAACTGTATCTTTTAGCCACAGTTGGAACTTGGAAGCACAAAGATAGCCACAGGCAGTGCTGATGAAGTATATTTTTTTACACATATTCCATGCACCTGGCTAAGCATCAGTATTTTGATGCTATGGGCACTGCTGTACCCATACTAAAGTCAACTTATGAATACAGATATGCAGAGCAATTAAACATCGTTCATTTTAATTAGGACTGGAGAACTGCACTACACTTATCAGGAAATGCCTGAAAATAGACCATCATGGTAAAATAATAAGAGCACATCTGATATGCAAATGATGTGCAGTAATGTGTGAAGATACATGTTTTTTTAAACTTCTTTAAACATTCATTTTTGGCTCTAGTTGTCTCTGGGACCCACTACACAGCAGATCCTCTGAGACTGTCTCTCGTCTCCTTGCTCTGACGCAGGACATGACTAAGGTAAGGTGGGGACATACTCAGAATTTTTCAAAGATGCTGTTTGCTCAAGTGTAAAAGCACCACATGACAAAAACACGTGTACAGAGATGCACAGGGACATCCTAATAGATGTGAGTATACTGCACATGGAGAGTAATTATGGTTTATGCAGAGCGAGAGAAAGAGATCATGAAAGAGAGAGCGAGAAAGCGAAAAAATGAATTATCCCCTTACCTCAGCACCATGGGCAGGGATTTTTTTCCTGAGGGCTGGGGAGGGCTCGGCAGAGCGTAGCGGGGTCGGGCCGCCGTTCTTCAGGTGCTCCCCCGAGGGTGACTTTGGTACACTCCACACAGGAACACCATCTGCAAAGGGAGCATATGAGAGGGTCAGAACCAACTGATTTCTGACCATGTTTAAGGGGGTACACTGACAGCTGGGATCTATGAGCAATTGGCCAGATCTCAAGCTTCATTGATTTGTATTGATTGACTGATATTGATTGCTCTGCTATGAGGTTGTTGTTGCAGAGAAGGAATTCAGGAAGGAGATGGTAGTGAGGTTGGGGGGAGCACATGAACTATCCACATCATTCTCTATTTTCTTTTGAAATCAGATAAGCTTTTCATTTTTAAACACAAAACATTAGAGATAAATATTGGATAGGGATATTAGGGTGATCCAGGTGAACCTATCTGCCAAACAGAGACAACAGGAAATTGAATTTGAGTGTATGTGTGAGTATACTGACGATGGACTTGTGGCGCTGACTTGCAGAATCTATTACTCAAAAAGCGGTGTGTTCGGAGCTCAAAATGAGAAACAAAATGTTCTGAAAGAGCCTGCAGGACTGGTGAGCAATCCTTCTCCTTAGGGTCACCAGTCTGATTGTTTTGTTACTACTATTTTGTGAGAATGTTTGTTTGTTGTTGTTGGAGGTTGATTAATATTTTTCTATTGCAGTACTATTAATCTGAAGGCAATGTCTTTTCAATTGAAAACTACACCATTTACATGACTGCTGCAATGAGGCTATAGAATTCCATATGTATTATTTCATAGTTTTGATGTTCACTATTATTCTACAATGTAAAAAATAGTAAATATAAAGAAAAACCCTTGAATGAGTAGGTGTGTCTAAACTTTTGACTAGTAGTGTACATACTGTATGAATATATTGAGGATATTAACAAGGTATGTCTTTGTGTTGTGTTCGTGCCTATGATTTGAGGTGAAACATTTGTGAATTATTTGTTTGTTAATACAATTCATGACATCCCAGATATCAAGGACTAGAAATGGAGAGGATGAGGTAATTGTAACCTGTGTATTTCATTTGTTCCATTTCCACCTGCATGTCATTCAGTGCCCACCTTTACACTACATGTGTATGGCCAAATCTTTGTAACATGATCTATCAGCGACATGGGACTGTTTCAGTTGTTTAACCATTTTGATGAGCACAAATAACCGACCAAAGGAGAGACGCTAAGCTCTGCAGTGCCCACCTTGACACATGATTCAGGTCTAAAATTAGTGTACACCCACACAAAGCTCAAGTTCAGCTACTTATCTATTATGATGAGCTCAAACACAGGCTGCAGCCTACCTAATGCAAGTCAATGCAATCAAGACCCTGTAAGTAGAGTGCTGCTAAGGACCCTGTTTCTAAAATTCCATTCCAGTTGAAATTGGGTTAACTCTAATGCACCCGCGTCTCTCTACTCTCTCGTATCCATTATTGAGGGACCAGTTGAGCTGAGTCGACTGGCGAGGTGCCCAGGGTTTCTCTACCTGACAGAGTGCTTCGATACTGCCTTCCAAGCAGGCTTCTGTTGCTCTGACAGGCAGAGGCCTCAGTAGTGTGGGCAGCAAACCCTACTATAGCTGATGGTATCCTCCATAAAAAAATGACATGCACATAGGAGATAGTATTGTATAAGAAGTGGCAGCACTGCTGAGGTCCAGCATTTTGCATTGCTGAGGTCCCTGGTTTGTTGCATTTTCTCTACGTATTTAGTCGAGTTACAATAAATGTATTGTAGTATTAGTTAAAGGAGCAAAAATAAGAAGTGACGGAATGTAATTAAATATCTTTGTATGAACATTAAACATTAAATATTTTTTATATGTGATGAAATTTGGGCTGTTATTCTATAAGCGGTTATGCAAATGTTATTCAGGATGATCATGAGAGTGAGAGAGGGATTGTAGGGAAAATCGCTGCAGCTGTCCATTCTTATGGGGAAAGAAAAACATCAATTTCAGGAATTAATCAGTTTGACCTCCTTGATCAAATTTGGACGATATCGCAGTGGCAGACAGTGAATAGCTGTGAGCTTAGCGATGGAAGTCCCACAATGAAGATGGTGCATGACCAGAAACAGAAGTAGCACCTAAAACAGAGAGTGTTTCATTGAAAACAGGCATGCATGTGAAATGGGTTGTGTTGCAAGCCAGGGGTGTTGTATGGAAAACATTAATGCACTATGCGTTTCCAATGGCTTTACCTTCCATTTCAGGGCTGTGACCTCAATGCTACTCATTTGTGCCGCTTTACCCACCCAACACTATGACAATCTCCCTCCTCCCCACCTCCCATATAAGAAGTCAAACACATTCAGCTCTCTAATTAATTTCAGGTCTCAGTGTGACATGCCATTTGATTTGCCCCTTAGTTCCATTCCAATGGAGACATGGCACATTTGCTAGTTCTTTCACGGTGGGGATAAAATAAAAACTCTTGGCCAAGCAATTCATTCCTTTACGGATTGTGATCTCCAAAAAGGAAACGCTCCACATTAAACATTTCAAATAAGCCGTCAGCAAGCTGTTTAGAAGTGGGAGCACCAGAACAAAGAGAGCGACGAGCAGCCAGATCCTCCATGACATCACTCAGTATGCAGCCCAATAGAAAGTACAGGGTTTGTGGAAGTTCCACAAAGACCCTAAAAGCTCCAGACATACAGTACTCACAGTGCCAAACGGATTCTAAGGTGGTGGTCCATTGCGTCCGAGCCCGGATGGACTGTGCCAGCCAGCCAATTCGTGGTCCAACCTCATGCTTGGCGCTTTTTGGGCGCCATGCAACAACGTGACCCTGCCCATGCAGTGGGTGTGGCAAGGGTTGGCTCAGGACAGTGTGGAATGGATGTTGACCCACCCCGCCCAACACTCCAGTGCGCCACAGTCCTAATCTGGAATATACCCATGCCAGTGCCACCTTCATCCCAGTTACTCTTAAACCCAACACCCAAAACAACCCTGCTAGGGCGTGCGGGGTACATGCCGGAGCCGGGGCACAGCAGGTCCCCCACAAGACGACGCATTGTTAGCCAGGCAGCGGAAAGAAACTGGTTTGTACTTGCGGCCTGGCGGTCCCACTCCACACCACCCCCTGTCTGACGTACAGGGCAGGGTGACTGTTAGGACATAAATCAGGAGAACACCAGAAGAGAGGACATAAGGAGACAGAGAAACAACCCCCATCCCAACCCTCATCCTCATTCCCACCCAAATCATCTACTTGCACCATAGGGAGGTTGGTTGTTCATAAGTACTGCTCTAGGGTCAGCTCAGCCCCAACCTTATGTCAAATATAACCATGTATTTATAACAGACACTGACCCTGGATCAGTAGTAGATTGGGAAAAGCTGGAAGGTTTTCTTGAAGGGGCGAATCCTCTTCCACTTAAGTAGACTTTTCAGTTATTCTTCCATTGACATCAATGCATCTCCAAGTGAAATTTTTACTTAAGTGGAAGTTAGGATTCACCCCTTAGTGCTGATCCAGGGAATTTAATGATCAATATGGGAGGAGAAAACTGATTCTATAGCAGGCCAGTATTGAGGAGTACTTCCACCTTCACCCATCCAAGCAAGTCATTTTATTGTACATTCCAACACCCATCAACCCACCTCTATGCCCAAGAGGGGCCATAGACACACATGGAAGCACCCTAAGGCTGCGAGAGGTTTGCTTTGAAAGATCTTTATTGGATCTATGTTCTGGCACAGAGAGGGTTAACATGGCAGATAAATTGAGTTGTAGGCACCTTTGTGTATTTGGCATAGGATTTGGCATAGATTAACTCCAGTGGAAACTTTCAAGTGCATAGTTGTATTGTAGTAGGCTCTTTCATACACACATACAAACATAGACCCACCCTCATCATTTTCTGACATGCACTGACTAAGGGCCACAGACAAATGCTTTTGTTAACCTGTTGTAAACAATATCGACCATAAATACACACTCACACACATAATTATTAGTTTGAGAAGGAATAATATCAATGCCATTCATCAAGACATAACAGAACAATTTATGAAAAAAATACATCAATAAAAAAAAGAACAAGACCAAAACTACAAACTATGAAAAAACAACACCACGGATGCAACATTCAACAACATTTATTACAGACACTCAAGTTCATGGCTCCGGTTAGATAGGGGCAAGGGCCACATTCTACCTCCATGATCATGTGGCCCTTGCTGCTGCTGTCGGGGTCTGGAAGGGAGGACAGGGGGGCCAACGCCAGGGGAGGGATGCCCGTGGCGGACTCACCGGAGGGGGGACCGTGGGTGTGGTTGGGCTGGGAGGCCTGGGGCTGGCTGTGGGTTTGGGTCTGTTGCAGGATGTTCAGGCACTCTCCCAGGCAGCTCAGGGTGGCGGCCGATGTGGCTTTGAGGAGCAGGAGGTCCTGGTCCAGGCAGGAAAGGGGTCCTCGCGTGGGGAGGGACTCAATGGATTGGACCAGGTTCTTCTGTTGGCCCTCTGCTTGGCTCATCGCCTGAGGGACGACAGGACAGAGTTAAAGGGTTTGTGTCAATTTCAGAATAACTTTCACATTTAGATACAATACATTGACACATACATGTACCTCCTCAACATTAGCTACCACTCCTCAACCTTAGCTGCCAACTTTATCAATGACTAAAAGTTGAAGGGGTTATATTTGACAGATGAATTGAGGATTATGTGGAATTGAAGAATACGTGTTCTGCATCTCTTCTCTCCCCATGTTGTTACGTTCTAGTATCTGTGGGAACGGCTGCAGCTGCTCAAACTCCATGAGCAACAGATGCACTGACCTCACTGTGACCCTGAGAATGCCAGGGCAGCAGACACAACAAACTTTACCTTGGGAAATCTCTCACTTAAAAAAGAGAGGCTACGAATCAACCTAGTGTGTTTCTATTAACATTGTTACATGCTCGGAAAATGCTTGCCAGAATATGCTGGATGTTGCTAAATAACCAGCATCTAAATGAAGCCTAGGTGAAAATTTTGTAAAACTTCATATTTGATCTTGCTACCATGGAAAGGTAAATACCTGTCAATTTGTGGAAAAATCCCCCTGATTAACTCTAGTATTATCCCAGTTTACCTATTTGCTTATGGTCTTGCCTACGCCTAGCGAACAGTTTTTTTTAAATTATATGAGAGAAAAAAATTCACTTTTATTTGGAACGGCAAGCCAGACAAAATTAAACGGGCCTATTTATATAATGAATATGAATTCGGAGGACAGAAATGATTACATATTAAAGCATTAGACCTATCACTAAAAAAGCTTCAGTCATACAAAAGTTATACTTAAATCTGAACTGGTTCTCTAGCAAATTAGTAAGATTGTCTCACCCAATGTTCAAGAATGGCCCTTTTCCCTTTATTCAGATTACAACCTCTCACTTTCAGTTATTTGAAAAGGAAATAATCTCCCAAATATCACTATATCTAAAACAAGCCATAGTAAGTTGGTTGCAATTTCAATTGAATCCTCCAGAAACGACAGAACAAATAATGCAACAAATATTGTGGTTAAACTCAAATATACTAATTGATAAAAAAACATTATCTTTTTAAATAAAAAAATTAAAAGTATAATCTTCGTAAATGATATCATAGGTAGGACTGGTGGAGTTATGTCGCACATGCAGCTAACAAAAACATATGGAAATGTCTGCTCTACCCAAAATTACAACCAAATAATTTCAGCATTACCGCAAAAATGGAAGAGGAAAGTGGAAGGGGGGAAAAGTAAGGAACTTGTCTGTCGGCCCTGCATTAAAGAACATAATTGGTTAAAGAAAATTGTGATAAATAAAAAAGTATACCAGTTTCATTTTAGGACCAAAGGATTGACAGCCGTCCCATATAGATTGCAAAATAGTTGGGAAGAAATGTTTGACGTACTGATTCCATGGCATAGTCCTGTGTAGCTCAGTTGGTAGAGCAAGGCTCTTGCAACGGCAGGGTTGTGGGTTCGATTCCCACGGGGGACCAGTATGAAAAAAAAAAAAATTATGCACTCACTAACTGTAAATCGCTCTGGATAACAGCGTCTGCTAAAATGACGAAAATGTTAAAAAAAATAGTGTTTATGAACTGATACGCAAAACAACGGCAGATTCAAAAATTTATTTAAATTATTATACAAAATTCTTGCTACCAATAGAACGTTATTTATATGGGGGATACAATCTTCCCAGCTCTGCAGATTTTGCTGCGAAGAGACAGAATCATTTGTTTTGGTACTGTCCATTTGTAGCTTGTTTTTGGACACAGGTCTAGGAATGGCTAAAGGATTGCAATATTTACCTGGAGCTAACCCTGCAGATAGCACTACTGGGTGATCTGAAAAGTCAGTCAATCGATCAATAATATAATCATACTTTTGCAAAAATGTTTATTTTCAATTTACAATCTGTAGTAACAATGAGAATAGAAGGGTTCAGAACTTTTGTAAAACATCACAGTACAGTTGAAAAATATATGGCAAATAGAAATCCAATATGGATGGTGTTAAGAGATAGATGGGAGGTGTTGAATGGAGTTGAAGGATGGGACTAATAACAACTAACAACAACTAATAACAACAAGATAACTAATCTAAAGCATACTGTGTCCATAATAAGTATATAGGTTATAGGTTGAGAGCTTTTGTGAAAGAGCACAGTTAGAAAGATACAGCATTTAGAAGCAAACCGGATGGACATCATGAAAATGATCGGAGAGGTTGAGGGTAGAGGAAGTTCAGGAGTAAAAACAAACAAAATAGAATTATTGTAAAATTGACTGTGTCCATAAAATGTATATAGTATGTATAAGCTGGAAGTAGAGGCCTAATCTTTGTTGTTCAATAGTTTACTCCAATTAGGGAAGGGGTGGTGGGGTTGGAAAGTAATAAAGGGAAATATATATATTTTTTAAAGGATATATATATATATATATGTTTATGTATGAAAAAAAACATATGGGGGATTGGAAGTGATACAGACAATTACATTGATGGAAGTTACAATCTATCTGCAATATTAAAGCTGATCTTTTGGGGGCTAACTATTCCTTTAAATGAATCATTTCTTATGAATTGAATAAAATCAAATGCGTTTTGAATCTAACTACTGAGGAAATCAAAAGGAATCATGGTTTCATGGGGATCCCTGTATGGGTAAACCATAGTGACGGTTCTAGCTAGTGGCTACTCTCTGGGTATCTATTTTATCCTGCTATTGGTCACTATTACTCCTGTTCACATGTGCCTTCAGAAAGTATTCACACCCCTTTGTCTATTTCCACATTTTGTTGTGTTACAGCCTGAATTCAAAATTGATTAAATTGATTTTTTTTCTCACCCATCTACACACAATACCCCATAATGACAAAGTAAAAACCTGTTTTTAGAAATGTTTGCAAATGTATTGAAAATGAAATACAGAAACATTTCATTTACGTAAGTATTCACACCCCGGCGTCAATACATGTTAAAATCAAACATTTATTTTTACTGCTCTATTTACAGTGGGGAAAAAAAGTATTTAGTCAGCCACCAATTGTGCAAGTTCTCCCACTTAAAAAGATGAGAGAGGCCTGTAATTTTCATCATAGGTACACGTCAACTATGACAGACAAAATGTGGGGAAAAAATCCAGAAAATCACATTGTAGGATTTTTTATGAATTTATTTGCAAATTATGGTGGAAAATAAGTATTTGGTCAATAACAAAAGTTTCTCAATACTTTGTTATATACCCTTTGTTGGCAATGACACAGGTCAAACGTTTTCTGTAAGTCTTCACAAGGTTTTCACACACTGTTGCTGGTATTTTGGCCCATTCCTCCATGCAGATCTCCTCTAGAGCAATGATGTTTTGGGGCTGTCACTGGGCAACACAGACTTTCAACTCCCTCCAAAGATTTACTATGGGGTTGAGACCTGGAGACTGGCTAGGCCACTCCAGGACCTTGAAATGCTTCTTACGAAGCCACTCCTTCGTTGCCCGGGCGGTGTGTTTGGGATCATTGTCATGCTGAAAGACCCAGCCACGTTTCATCTTCAATGCCCTTGCTGATGGAAGGAGGTTTTCACTCAAAATCTCACGATACATGGCCCCATTCATTCTTTCCTTTACACGGATCAGTCGCCCTGGTCCCTTTGCAGAAAAACAGCCCCAAAGCATGATGTTTCCACCCCCATGCTTCACAGTAGGTATGGTGTTCTTTGGATGCAACTCAGCATTCTTTGTCCTCCAAACAAGACAAGTTGAGTTTTTACCAAAAAGTTATATTTTGGTTTCATCTGACCATATGACATTCTCCCAATCCTCTTCTGGATCATCCAAATGCACTCTAGCAAACTTCAGACGGGCCTGGGCATGTACTGGCTTAAGCAGGGGGACACGTCTGCCACTGCAGGATTTGAGTCCCTGGCGGCGTAGTGTGTTACTGATGGTAGGCTTTGTTACTTTGGTCCCAGCTCTCTGCAGGTCATTCACTAGGTCCCCCCGTGTGGTTCTGGGATTTTTGCTCAACGTTCTTGTGATCATTTTGACCCCACGGGGTGAGATCTTGCGTGGAGCCCCAGATTGAGGGAGATTATCAGTGGTCTTGTATGTCTTCCATTTCCTAATAATTGCTCCCACAGTTGATTTCTTCAAACCAAGCTGCTTACCTATTGCAGATTCAGTCTTCCCAGCCTGGTGCAGGTCTACAATTTTGTTTCTGGTGTCCTTTGACAGCTCTTTGGTCTTGGCCATAGTGGAGTTTGGAGTGTGACTGTTTGAGGTTGTGGACAGGTGTCTTTTATACTGATAACAAGTTCAAACAGGTGCCATTAATACAGGTAACGAGTGGAGGACAGAGGAGCCTCTTAAAGAAGAAGTTACAGGTCTGTGAGAGCCAGAAATCTTGCTTGTTTGTAGGTGACCAAATACTTATTTTCCACCATAATTTGCAAATAAATTCAATAAAAATCCTACAATGTGATTTTCTGGAAAAAAAATTCTCAATTTGTCTGTCATAGTTGACGTGTACCTATGATGAAAATTACAGGCCTCTCTCATCTTTTTAAGTGGGAGAACTTGCACAATTGGTGGCTGACTAAATACTTTTTTCCCCCACTGTATGTTGGTAACCAGTTTATAATAGCAATAAGGCACCTCGGGGGTTTGTGGTATATGGCCAATATACCACGGGTAAGGGCTGTATCCCTGCACATTGTATATTTGGTATTGGCACTGACCTATAGCTTCCTATCTTATTTCTTATGTTTTTAATAGTTATACTATTCTGATATTGATTACTGAACTGTTCGGTAGAGCATGCAAATTAAGCATTTCACTGTACATGTGCATGTGAAAATAAATTTTTTACTAATGAATCTGGGTTGTTTATCATGCTATAAATGTTCAGGTCATGAATATTGTATAGCTTCCCAAACACAAACACACAGCAGCCCACTCTTCAATGGCACATCTGTTGTTTCGCTGACTGACAGATTCAGTGAGAGCCATTACAGTCAGGGTTATATCGTATTTGTGGTACTTCCATTGATACGGAATAAGTAGCTAATCCAACTACAATACAAACAAAACAAATGTGATGTTATTGATAGGACTAGCCTCTGGTAGACATTTTATACATCAAACACTTAAATCAGTGACAAAATGCTTTTCTATGGGGACTGCACTGCAATTCTACGTTCTCCTTCAAAAACACAAACAACTGTTACCGAACTGACCCACAACAGGTCAGCATATGTGACTGAAGTAGTTGCAGTTCAGTGGATCAGTTGTAAAACAACTCTCATCCATCCCACCACTCAGACAGAGGCCCTGTGTCCTGAGGAGTGAGCCCTGATTTTCACTAGGATTAGCATGGGTTTAGTGTGTAGAGGCCAATGATGTATTTAAACCCTGGATTGCTGATGCTATGTATTGGCCATTGAGAGGCTTTGAAGCCTCTGGTCAGTCATATTGACACTACACAGTAGGAGCAGTCCTCCATAGGAATGAATGGAATTCTACAGTATTTCAATTAAATGTTTCAAGGACAAAATTACATGTATTTAAGTACTTTGTGGGGACAGTAACATTAGTAATCTCTAAAAATGATACTTTAAGGAAAATGTTTCTATATTTGTTTTTATTTAGCTCACATAATATAATAGTATACATTAAGGTGTCTGTAATATAATAAAATGTGGCAAAAAACAAATAAGACATTAATAAATGCATTTCTATAGCTTCCAAAATATATTTTTTACAATGGTGTGGGAGAGCCACTCAGTCAAGTTTGAGACTTCCAGAGAGAGAGAGAGGAGAGAGAGAGAGAGAGAGAGAGAGAGAGAGAGAGAGAGAGAGAGAGAGAGAGAGAGAGAGAGAGAGAGAGAGGGAGAGAGAGAGAGGAGAGAGAGAGAGAGAGAGAGAGAGAGAGAGAGAGAGAGAGAGAGAAATAGAAAGAGGGAATAGTAAGAGAGAGAGAGAGAGAGAGAGAGAGAGAGAAATAGAAAGAGGGAATAGTAAGAGAGAGAAAGGGGAAGGAGAAAGAGAGAGATATAAAGAGTCTGTGAACCAGGAGTCCAGGGCCATATAGCATAAGAGTATTTCCTACAAAGCCAATACAGTATGCTGCAGTAGAATCTAAAAATAAAACCATCTCAGGTGGCAGACATGAGACTTCACACTCACGGTTGATTCAACATGACTTTGACTTAGAGAAAGACAGACAGCCCATCAGTAGAGATAGCCTGACTGAATTAGGCCACAGTCTCCCTCGGTCAGGGACCAGGCTCCTTACTGTAAAACTGTCAAGAGATAAAACAAGAAGGACTGTGTCCACCAGGGGTGACCTCTATGCTACAAACCTCTGCAACAACATCCTTCAAATGGTGACGCACACTGACAATTCCCAGCGAGTTGTATATATGAGTATACGCTTTGTATACACAGCTCATCTCCTTGTCTTAAGACTCCAGAGCAAGGAAACAGAGGGTCCACAGAGAGTGGACCAACTAAAACAGCTCGGTCCAAAATGGCCGCCAGTGTGGAGGTAGAAACTGCGCAGAGACTGAAACTGCCTCCCTTCGTTTCCCACTGGAGAGACGAAGAGTATAGAAATAGCCTGACCTGACTGAACCATTGAGCCATGGCTGTCTAAATGCCCAGTGGTGCTGCTCTACTCAGGGAGTCCAGGCATCTGATGGGTTCACATCAGCCAGTTGTGACAGGCAGCACTGCTGGAGTCAAGTCATGTGCTCTAGTTTCCGAGCTGGTCGGATGGTGATGGAACCTGCCAGTGAAAGGTAACAGCATGATGGCAGCATTCCCAGTGTTCACAGGGAGGATGTGGTGGATGTCATCAGGGGGTATTGGGTTTGAGTTTTGATGCCCAGTGAGTGTCGGTGTGCTGTGTTTCCATAAGACTGAGCAGAGCGGTTGGATCATGTGGAGATTTACTGGGGTGTGATATACTACTAGCGTCTACTACTACAGCCCACCAAGTCACACTACTTACAACTACACTAAGTAGCAGTCTATCTCTACAACCTACCAAACCACTGCCATTCTCAGGGGATTACAGACGTATTTGACTAATTGATTAACCTGTGTACCAAATTATTATTACAGGAGCTAGGAAAGTTCATTAATCATGAGTGAAAATGTGTCTAATCCTATACTACATGTAGCAAAAATATGGATGAGATGCCAATGGCGTGACAATGACCATAGAAGTTGGCAAGACAGCAAAATCTACTCTGGGACCACTGTCAAGTGCCATCTCATAAATCTCCCAGTAAGCAGGGCAGGACGGCAATGCCACCTCCCATCCCAGAGCCTCCATGACTGTGTATAAATCTGCCTCCAGGCCCCAGCTCCATTCCCGCTCCGCCACCACCTGGCCTGCTGCCAGCCATGTTTATGGGACTTTATTAATAATAATAATAATATAATTATTATTATTACCATCATGAATAGAGAGGTAGTGTAACAACATACAGACAAGGTAAGGAGGAGAGGGAGAAAATTAGAAAATGGAGGGATGCATAGAATGTAAAATCAGGCCATGGAAATAGGGAAATGTTACAGGGCTGTTTTTGGGCAGAATGCAGGTTAGCACAAGCTTGAAACAGCATAGAGAAGAGAAAGACAACCCAGTTTCCTATAATCTAAGTCCAAATTCAGAGGGGCCCAAATGAGTGTTTGGGTTATTTAACGATCAAACCATCTGCTTGATATTTACTCTAATCCCTCTGGGTTCATTTCAGGTAACAAGTCTACTTTCCAAGTGGTGAGAAATGTTGCCACTCCTGCAGTAGTTTCTCCATTAATGTCTTTAGACAATATCTCCTTTTAAACAGTTATTCTTAGTGTGAAGAGTGATGCAGCATAGTGCATCTGATCTGAATTAGGAATTTAAAAGGGCTTTATGAAAAATTTAGATTCTTCCAAGAATGTCAAAAACCTGTAGTGCTGATTAATTAACCGAAATGTCGTTTTTTTTTTTTTTTAAGTTCAATTATTTGATTTCCATTTAGTTTTTTTCTTCTTCTGTGAGCTCAATGAGCACATCGCACACTTACTCTAGAGATAAATCGGATCCAACCTGAACTGTGCGACGTAGTAGGGAGTTGTAGTTTCCAACAGGCCAATATTCTACATAGTTTAGAGCATAAAACATGTTAATTAACTACAATGACCATAATCCATTGCGCATGTACTTGTCCGGTCTGTTTTTTTTACGCTTGCTACGGAAGAGAGATGAACGCGCGATCGTGAGGTGATATAGGGAGCAGCTGTTGCTTCGCGAGGTATCTCTACCTAAAAATACATGATCTAAGTGATTGATAGTTGGTATTCAGCGGTCATAAAAGTATGCCTTCTTTACTTTGAAGAACTACAAACTAGGGATTTTGTCAGACAGCATAGGCAGCAGCTCTATAGAGATGAGATGACTTGGAATGAAAAAATAAGTAATCAAATAAAACAATATGTAATATACACAACTTAAATATTTTATTAAAAAGTAATGTGAATAAATGATAAGCAGTAATGGGCAGTCACTACCATCATGGGACTTTTATTAATTGTTTTATTCTGTGTTACAGCATTCAACCCACATAATGCATAGTCCATTTAATGTTTTTTTTTTTTTTTATCGAAACCGAAAACCGTAAAAAAATGTTTTATAATCTAACCAAAACGACCTCAAAAAGCACTAATCGCTCAGCACTAAAAACCTGCCACAGTGTTGTTTGAATCACAAGTAGAACATTTATTTTACATGATGCCATTGAGGACAAATACGAGAGATATCGTTTGATGGGGGTGCCATGGCTCCTTACTCCCCTCATATTAACTAGCTGAGTCCCTGAGGTCTTAGGTGATCCAATTCCTCAGCTAAGAAAAAAGTATTACATGAGTTATTTGTTATGCTGCTAGCCGGTGTACCATTCACCAATGCCCTTTTAGAGTTCCAGGTTTCTGAGAACCTGTACAAAGCCACCTTGTTCCAGAAGCAGAGCCTCAAAGAGAGCAACCTTTGCTGTTGGCTCTCATACCTGTGCATTGATACGGTGTCCGGTAGCTACAGTAGGAATAATAGGTTCTGACCGCCATGTCCTTTACCCAGTGTCTAAGAGACTGAATGGGCAAAATTGTTGTTATTTGTGCCATGCAAAGCTATCAGCAACTAATGGAACTAATGTTCTGCCCTCCACCCATTCCTGAAAGGCAATGTCAGACGGAGGCAATGGTACAGCACAAGTGTGTCCACTGCTAATACTCCATACACCAGGCCTGTCACAAGTCTTGTCCTGGAGGCAGAACTGGGTGATTTCCCCTTAAATAGGCCAGCTGCAAAATGGGCTATATTGTAGATCTATATCTACAGATTTTAAGACTTTGTGGCTGTGCCAGCTAGTGACCACTCTGCAGAGCTACCTCCAGAACAAGATTCATGACAAAAAACGCTAACCTGCGAATCATTCAGGGCAAAGCATAATAATGAACAAAAATAACAAAGCCAACAATTTTTCTAAAGATCAGAGTATACACAATCCATCACTCTTTCCAGTAATTTCCCATAATGTACCTACCGACGCTCCTGAAAAATTGTATTAGGCCTACCTTTTGCAAAGCTTTTCTCGTCTGATATGAGAACACGCTTTGTCATCAGTTCGGGAAGTCTTCCCATCAGCTGAAATGTATTCAAGTAATCTTATCTATATAGTTCAGCAGACAAGTACACAGCTCACTGACAATAGCAGGAACAACACTAGACCGCTTGGGATAACTAAACAAAAGTTGGAAATGAGGCGACTGCTCAGCCAAAAGTGTCAGACAATCAAGATTTAATAAATTCCTTATCCGCTGTCTCTGGCAAATGCGGCCTGTAGTACAACGTAATCTTTTTCGATAAATCACTATAACCGACTGCAGACAGGCTATACAGAAAGGTTGCAAAATCAGTCGTTCCAGGGCGAAAAGCTGAAATTTGTGAATGCATATGAGCAATAGCCTGGTTAACCCAGATTGAATGCTGTGCTCACAATGATAAGTGCAGTGTTCAGTCTGATTTAACCAGGCTATCGGAGCATGAAGACAGAGCAGATGTGGACCAGGCTGTGGCCGGAACTGGCCAGCTTGCTAACTCCATGGGGTATAATTGATGCAGTAAAGGGCCCGCTTAGCACAGTCTGACACTGATAGGATTTTCCCCTAAAGGAAAGAGACATACAACAAAGTAGCTAAGTACAGAGTCAGTTTTGGAGGAAGACTAATGGCAATTTAAAGGGGTTCTCAGTCACGAAAGTACAACTCCAAAATGTCCATGCAAATCAATGCCAAATTCTGCAGTTGGTTGTTCAACCATTTTAGCAAAAACTGGAATTACCGGTATAATGCCCTTTCATCCTCTTCAGACATAAAGACACACCACCTCTCCAGTTCAGACCACTCCATAGGCACAACATTAGCTAGCACAGCATTTCCCAAACTTGGTCCTGGGGACCCCAAGGGGTGCACGTTTAGTTTTTTGCTCAATCACTACACAGCTGATTCAAATAATCAAAGCTTGATGATGTCCTTATTTGAATCAGCTGTGTAGTTCTAGGGCAAAAACCAAAACGTGCACCCCTTGGGGTCCCCAGGACCAAGTTTGGGAAATGCTGAGCTAGCCTATAAGCTAGCTTTCCCCTTTGTCGCATGCCATGTTAAGCAGTATGGATATATACAGAGAAACGCCAAGCCAGCTAAAGCTAGAGACATAGAGCGCAGTGCAGTCAATTTTGATCGGGTCAGACGCCCAGGCCAAAAAATATTTGCTGAACTCATTGCACCAATGGCCCACCAGAGGGTAGGCAGAAACACTGAACACATAGGACAAGAAATACAGTGCAGTATTAAAACAAAAGTTGTTGGGGTCAATGTTGGGGTAAATTTGAAATGACTGCGTCATGTACTTTGAACAGAAATATTCCCTATTGTGTAAATAGTACATTTAAAAATCCAAACTCCATGACTCCAATCTGTCTGACATTGTGATGAATTTGGCAGTCTGCCTAGCGCCTACGACAATATATAATCAATTAATCCATGATGATGTCATCACAGAGGGACAGTTTCAGGTTCCACCCACCTCTTTGACCTCCAGTAGTCGGCCAGGATACTGGTTCTTGGCCCGTCGGGCAGCGGCTGGGGACTTGTGGTGGGTGATGGTCACGATGTTGCTCGGTGTGCCCGCACACACCAAGTGCCTCTGGATACCAGGCGAGGAGGAGGCTGGCGGGAGGTGGGGGAGGAGGGAGACGCTATGGGACCGACCAGAAGACGACGAGCCCTGAGAGAAAAATACAAAAAAAGATTGAGAAGGGATGTAGCTCAGTTGGTAGAGCATGGCGTTTGCAACGCCAGGGTTGTGGGTTCGATTCCCATGGGGGGCCAGTATGAAAATAAAATAAAAAATGTATGCACTAACTGTAAGTCGCTCTGGATAAGAGCGTCTATTAAATGACTAAAATGTAAATGATATATGAACTGCCACACCATTCAACTACTTCCTACTTCTACCATTCACCTGTCTCCTATGAACTGTGAGTCTGGTTTGTGAGTCAAACCAGAAAGGGGTTTAGCCTTCTTGAATAAGCTTGGGTACTGTATGAAAGACATGTTGAAACCAGTCCCTGACGAAGGGCAGCAAACTGAAGACAGCACCTTGTGGTTTCCTTAAAAGGTCCACATTTCAGTCGTATGAGGAGAACTGTGACTAACCCTTAACAAGAGACCCAGGCTATCACAAACCCCAAACAAACCAGAGCAAAAGCTACCAACTCTCCAGTGAACTCAACTCCTAAATTAGCTTCAGGCTACTTCCCTCCTGACAAGAGCAAATAAGGTACGTAGTGGTGAACGACCAGTTAAAAGAGATTTAAAAAGCTATCAACAGAACTTAAAAAGTGGACCTTTGCCTTCCGTCTTATTTATAGCTCTACACCACCACCAAAATTAAATCTGGTTCTCTCCTTCCTTCTTTCCCTCTCTGTCTCCTTCCCTCCGCCATGTCTGTCTACCATGTCTCTCAGTCGGAACCCGTCCTCACCCTCCATCAATTTACAGCAGTTCCAGAGAGACAGCGTCCCTCCACCCTGGATACCACAGAGGTCTGGGCACAGCACAGCACAGTACAGTACAGTCGAGAGAGAGAGCAGAGTTAAGATAGATAAATATATCAAATAAACTACTCTCTCCCTGAGCACTACTCACCGGAGGAGAAACAAATCGGCTTCCATTTTGGAAGCGGCAACTCTCGCTCCCAGGACCTTAGAGCCATAATAGTCACAAACGGAAAAAGGCACATTGTGACACTGCAGGAAAGTACAAGATACTTTTTTCCAATGGCCGCAAGTATGTATGTGTATCATTCAAATTCACACCCTAACAACGTTTCAAATCGCGAGACAGCAGCTTTCTGTGAGAACAGGGCCATGAAGCTACAGCAGTGAGTAAATCAGAATTCAGAATGGGGGAACACTCAACATTTAGATGTGTTCAACAGCAGCTCAGGTCTTTCCTCTCTAAAACTGGCACAGAGCTGCAGGCATTTCAGTAAACTGCAATGGTGAGAAGACGGCAGAGTCTTCAAAATACGGAATGGAGACAGAGAGAGGGAGTGAAGGAAGGATAATGAGAACGAGCACTGAACCCAGAGAAAGCGAGAGTGATCGAGAAAACCATCTGTATCACTGAAGCTGGGAGAGGAAAAGTTACTGTCATGCATGGCTAACGTTAGCTAGCAGATGTTGACCGGCTAATGTGATGCTCCATTCGCCATTATAGGGTAGGTACTGTTTGTGGAGTAGCACAGATAATTTGACCAACCTTAACTTGCCATACTATCTTTGTTCTTGATTCGGCCAAACATGCATCTTCTAAAATTTCCGTGTCCAGTTGCAGGTGGTTCATTTGAATTTAGAAAATGCTCCGTTATTAAAATAAAAAATAATTTTCTCCATGAAGTAATCCAACAATGTATACAAATCTTTTCTCATTGATTGAGACAGGTGGGTTCACCCCAAAGTGCTGCATGTCACTTACCTGTCTTGATAAATGAGAGAAGATTTGAAATAGACAAGATGGCGGCATACACATAAATGGAGCATTTTCTAAATTCAAACAAAGCACCTACAAATGGATACTGACATTTTTGACAATACATGTTTGCCTGAATCGAGAACTAATTTAGTGTCGCCAATTTAAGGTTGGTCGAAAAACATGACCTATCCTGTAACGGCTAATGGAGCAACACATTAGCCCGTTACAATCTGCTAGCAAGGCTAATTTATGAATGCTGCAAAGATTATTCAAGCTTGTGAACTATGCTACTTGTTCTTCCTTTCAGTGGATACAGAAACAACAACTTTTCTCATGAGGGTACAAAAAATAGTGTACTAATGAAACTCTGCAATTTCTGCATTCTATTAGGTCCCCAATTTGGGAAGGGTAAATATTTACCACCCCTTGGTTCATGCCTTTCCCTATTAGGAAACACATGAGTGAATAAATCTACATACACTGTATACATAATGCAGTCACTCTCCACTTACTGCAACCTCAGCAATATTTCAACAAGCTCCCTTCCCCCCTCCCAACCGGCATGTCTGCCCCTCACAGGTGTGCCCCTACTGCTTGGGCTGACTTGGCCCTCCATAATAGAACGTGGGTGGTGGGTGCCACATAGGTCAGGAGACGGTATCAAAAAGACAGAAATAATCTACTCAAATGTATCTACAATGGGGCTCAGCTGGGCCCTTTAAGAGGCACCTGAAAGAGAGACTGACGCCGAATACCCGCCTGAGCAAACTACTCCTGCTTCAAAAGCAAATTATATGCTAAGGGTTCTGCAGGGAATTAGTTCCACAAAGAGCCGGGATGAGAGGAATTTCAAACATCCATGAGAGTTATTTTATAACACAGTAACATCCTCTCTTCCACTACAGGGTGGTAGAAAATGTAACTTAAGGCAAAATAAGCGATGCTTTTCTTCCTTACGTGAACCAACTACTGTACAAAGAAAGTCATTGTAAATACATCAGAGAAAGGGTTGCCATTTGTAACTGGTGACCGACACGTTGAAAGAAATTGTATAAAATGCTTGACAGCTTTTTGAATACAAAGTTTAAATCTCCACCGAAAGCGTAAATTAGCAGCTAAACTGAGGAAAGCTCAGTTTACTTATCAGTTGTAAACCCAGCATTGGCGATAATAAATACTATAGAACAGAAATGCCCTCATTCCCCAAATGTATTTCGGTGCTCAGGCTTACACGGATTCATTCTAGATCGTGTTTGCTAAGCCAGGAATACATCTTAGCCTTCGGAGGAGATGCGATTCTGATCTCTGAGGCAGAATGGGAAGCTTAGACACGATTAGACTACTACGGTTGTCTGTCACGGTACAGGAACCCAAAAAAGCCCACCCGCTTTTGACAAGAGGAAAAAACCCTCTTCTTACTGATCCAAGTTAAGGAGTATAATTGGACTTCTCTGTCTATTCAACTGTGCAGCACTTTTTGAAAAAGTGAATAGCTATACGGTGTATGTGGCATGTGAGAGTTTGCAATGAAAGCTTTCAAGAACATACAGGCTTTTTCTACACTTTGAAATATATGGAGGAGTGCAGAAAGTGAGAACCAGGACACAGCGAGAGATGAAGACATGGACAACCCTATAAGTGTATTTATGTCTCAGTATATAGAGCTCTGAAAATTGAGTAGGCAGGTGTTTATGTTGGATCAGTTATTTGTACAGGGTGAGTTGTTGGTACAAGGTCAGTAGCTCAGGTGTGGACGGGTGCATCTTGACTCACCAGCCCCTCCTGGCTGCCTCCCGTCGTTCTCTTCACATTCAGGTGCTCATCCGATCCCTTAAACTTCCACACCTAAGGCAAAACACAAAATAACATAGAACTCAGTACAGGGTCGTGTTCAGTAGGTGGGGAAATGGAAAGATACTACCTGAACTTGTCCAATAAGAAAAGCCCATTTTTGTTTTCCATTACAAAACTATGTGCCCTACTGAACATGACCCAGACGCAAAACGGATTCCGTTTCTTCCGTCCACTGTTAAAATTAACTGGTTGGCTCACTCCTATACAGAAGGTTCTAAATCTCTACTGTTCCCTTCACAACCCAGTGACTTCCAAACCAGGCTGTCAAGGCCCACAGCAGAGATCCAGAGGATGGGGTAACTCCATAATGAGGCTGATACGCCACTGGCTCCTCTGTCACATGGAGACTGGCTTCAATGTACCCCGGACAGACACAGTGCATAGCCAACAGAGACCAACAATAAGGCTGTGCTGGAGCTCCAGAGATGATGAATGCATGGTCTGCTACCCTCTTATCTATTATACCAAGAAAGCAGGAGTCCATAACCAGCCATACTTCCCCAAATTCTATTCTATACACTCCCCAAATCAAGTCTACAGTGGCAATGGATTAACATAAACTCATTTACATAAGGAAACGTGTCTTTTTGACAGGAAACAGGAACAATATTTATGAGAGTTACTGTGCCACGAGGCAGGGGTGGAGGAAATGGGGTGATGCATGATGGGAGAGAGCGAGGAGATGCAGACAGAGAGAGCATTGATTGTAGACTGCTGCGGTGCACTCACACAATCAGTCTGTAGACATGGGGAGATGGTGGGAGAGGGAGAGAGAAAGCGAAGGAGAGAGCGAATGAAAGGAAGAGAAAAACAGCAAAATATACATTTAGTATACTGAAGAATAGGCCATTTGCTGAAACATTTTCCTACAAAGACAACACAATATGCTGCAGTATAATAAAAAAACTAAACACTCAGGTGGCAGTCCTGATTCAACATGACCTTGACTTGAATCTGACTTTCATAGACCTTCCCACACAAAAACTTTTGAAATCAAAAAGAGTTTATAGGTTTGGAAGGGTTCCCCTTCAAAGCTATTGCCAGGTGGCACGTACCCAGGTTACCTCTCACTCTCAAACAGACAGAGAATCAGGGATGATACTCTACAAAGGGAATAGCTGACTCCTACTGTAGCAGCTGCAAAGCCCTAGGGGAGGAGATAGCAGGAGAGTTAGAGGGGTAGAGGAGGGAGGAGCAGGTGTACAAGGGGTGCCAAGATCAAGATCTACTAGAGAGGATCACTCTCCGAGGTGATGGTACGCAATCATGTATTTATTTATTTAACTAGGAAAGTCAGTTAAGAACAAATTCTTATTTACAATGACAGCCTACCCCGGCCAAACCCAAACGATGCTGGGCCAACTGCGCGCCACCCTATGGGACTCCCAATTACGGCCGGATTGTGATAAAGCCTGGAATCGGACCAGGGTCTGTAGTGACGCCTCTAGTACTGAGATGCAGTGCCTTAGACCGCTGCGCCACTCGTGAGCCCAAATACTCATCTGTATTCACGCCTGAATTTAAAATGGATTACATAATGTAAAAGTGGAAGTATGTTTTTAGAAATGTTTACAAATTCATTAAAAATGAAAAGCTGAAATAGCTTGAGTCAATAAGTATTCAACCCCTTTGTTATGGCAAGCCTAAATAAGTTCAGGAGTAAAACTGTGCTTAACAAGTCACATAATAAGTTGCATGGACTCATTCTGTGTACAAGAATAGGGTTAAACATGATTTTTTAACGACTACCTCATCTCTGTACCCCACACATACAATTATCTGTAAGGTCCCTCAGTCAAGCAGTGATTTTCAAACACAGATTCAACCACAAAGACCAGGGAGGGTTTCCAATCCCCAGCAAAGAAGGGCAGCTATTGGTAGATGGGTAAAAATCTAATAAAAAGCAGACATTGAAAATCCCTTTGAGCATGGTGAAGTTATTAATTACACTTTGGATAGTGTATTAATACACCCAGTCACTCCAACGATACAGGCGTCCTTCCTAACTCCTGAGAGGCAGGTAGCCAAGCGGTTAAGAGCATTGGGCCAGTAACCGAAAGGTCGCTGGTTCGAATCCCCAAGCCGACTAGGTGAAAAATCTGTCTTGCCCTTGAGCAAGGCACTTAACCCTAAATGTAGCTCTGGATAAGAGCATCTGTTAAATGACTAAAATGTAAAACTCAGTTGCCGGAGAGGAAGGAAACCACTCAGGGATTTCACCAATGGTGAATTTAAAACAGTTACAGAGTTTAATGGCTGTGATAGGATGGAACAACATTGTAGTTACTCCACAATACTAACCTAAATGACAGAGTGAAAAGAAGGAAGCCTGTACAGAATAACAAATATCCCAAAAGATGTATCCTGATTGCAATAAGGCACTAAAGTAAAACTGCAAAGAAATTAACTTTATGTCCAGAATACAAAGCGTTATGTTTGGGGCAAATCCAATACAACACTGAGTACCACTGTTCATATTTTCAAGCATGGTGGTGGCTGCATCATGTTATGTGAATGCTTGTCATCGGCAAGGACTATGGAGTTTTTTAGGATAAAAAGAAACGGAACAGACCTAAGTACAGCCAAAATCCTAGAAGAAAACCTGGTTCAGTCTGCTTTCCAACAGACACTGGGAGACACATTCACTTTTCAGCAGGACAATAATCTAAAACACAAGGCCAAATTACACTGGAGTAGCATACCAAGATGACATTGAATGTTCCTGAGTGGCCTAGTTACAGTTTTGTCTTAAGAATTGGCTTTAAAATCTATGGAAAGACTTGAAAATGGCTGTCTAGCAATGCTCAAAAACCAACTTGACATTGCTAAAATCCTTTTTTAAAGAATAATGTGCAAATATTGTACAATCCAGGTGTGAAAATCTCTTAGAGACCCAGAAAGACTCACAGCTGTAATTGCTGCCAAAGGTGATTCTATCAGGGGTGTGAATACTTATGTAAATGAGATATTTGATTTTCAATAAATTTGGTAACATTTCTAAAAACATGTTTCCACTTTGTCATTATGGGGTATTGTGTGTAGATGGGTGAGAGAAAAATAAATATTCAATCCATTTTGAAATTAGGCTGTGAAAAAACTAAATGTGTAATAAGTCAAGAGGTATGAATACTTTCTGAAGGCTATGAATGTTATCTATCTGTGCCTGCTGTGTGCATTGAGACTGCATGAAAGCTAAAGAATTCCAAAATCCAACCACTATCGGAAAGAGCATTTGCTGTTTCAGTGTGCCAACAATGCACCCAACAACAGCGGTTTGCGACAAAATCTCACAACCACAAAGCTACTTTCTCTCAAACTACAGCCTTTCTCTCGACCCCTACACTAATACCATAGTTGTCCATTCAAGCAATTTGTCCAAAGCCATATTAACAGCAATTTCATTTCCTCCAAGGTGCCTGAACCCAAGTAATTCAATAAATCTGAGCTGTGCTTACAGAAGTGGGATGCGATTTGTAAACTCAGTGGTATATTAATCTCTAAGGGAAAGTCAAGGCTTCCCTGTCACTGCACCGCTCCTCCTGAGGGACATATCCAGGAGCTAGAGCTTAGTAGTGACTGCAGTGTGTGTGTGTGTGTGTGTGTGTGTGTGTGTTGTACACACCTTGGCACTGCTGTCGGAATGGCGTCTGGCACACGCTTGGAGTTGGTTCATCCAGAACTGCTGCTCTTTGGCATCGGATGCTACGGAGACACAAAAGGAGCGAATCAGATGTTAATTTCCGATAACAATCATCGTCACAATGGGAGAAATAGCAAATCATATTCATACGAGTTAACGGTCAGTTCAATAGGTAGGTAGTCATCACAAAATGTATGTCATTCTGTATTGCATATCACTTTTCAGATTGACATCCAAGTTCTGTCTGACACATTATCAGCCAATGTACTGTGTATTCTGATACAGGGTCAGGGTCTGATAGTTGTAGTGCATCAGAACTCAGTACTGTAGTGCATCAGTACTAGTTTGTTATGTTGATCCCAAACTCCCTGTGTAGGGGCTCGTAAACTACTGAACTTTACAATAGCATCTGTGTCCTTATTCTACAACACACTAAAACATTTTCTAAGACACACTTTCAGATTGATGGAAAGCTTGATTTTTCACCTAAACTCTCAATGATGGGGGCAACAGTGTGTGTGTGAGTAGCTAAAATGGCAGACATTTCACAGGCCCAGAGACGGCCTGCTATCCAAACACCAACCATGGAAAAAGTGACTCACTGGACCCCTTTTGTTTTACAAGACAGTAAACTGCTGTAAACTGCCCTCCGAGGCCAGACACACCAATAAGCCTGTTTCATTTCATTAACTGATTAATTGGCAGAGCCTGTCTACAAATGGTACAACCTCTTTCGTCTAGACTAGCTAGACCAATTGGCTGATCATTGTGACTGACTGGTAAAACTTTAGTTCAAGAGCAATTCAGCATCTCAACCTATTCAGTGAGATACATGTAGCAAAGTCTCCAGTTGCTATGGTAACTATCCAAGGAGAAAATAAGAACATTTCATTAGCAACGGAACCGAATATAGCAGCATTGTCTGGACTCCTGGAGTCCCTATTAGTGATTAACTGAAACAATGGGCACGTTGATCATGAACGGTGGAGTGCTGAATGTTGAATCTATATTCATGCGAGTTTAGCTCGAGAATGAGTCATTTCTTGGAATGGTAATGGCCTCATTTGAGCACTGTGACATGAGTATCTGTCAATCACTTAAGGCATTTTTCAAGCACCTGAAATGTCGCCTGAGTAAAGAGACAGAAGGAGACTCATCCACACTGACAAATGTCAATGTGACACTTAAAACAGTACCTTCTCCAGTGAATAGCTCCTCTGCTCTCTCAAGAGAAGGCTGTGTTCATGTAGGCTATTCATAATGAAACACCTGTACCCAGCTGTCAGTCTGTTAAGACCATCAGCATATATTTTCCTTTCAAAACGTCTCAGTTTACAGTCTGCGACACATTTAGATCAGCAATTTTGGGTCTTGATTTATACAAGCTTTGCCGTGATTGTACATAATTAGCTAGCTGCAATGAACAGAGGTGGATCTGGCAGTGCTGAGCGGTTATGTGGATATGCAAATATGCACCTGTTTTGAATGATGAAAAGGACGCTTAGTCGCTAACATGAGCTACTTGCACACTAATCCTTACTTAGCGAAGACCAGGTCATTCTTGTGCTCCGTCTAAAAGGTAACCCCAAAAGAAGGCCAAGGCTAATCAAAAATTCAAAGCTGGTGTTTTGTTCAAAAAGGTCCCTGGTTTGGAGTTGGAGGGGCGGCAGTTCCATTCAGTTGATGCATGAGCCACGCTTGTTTTGGCAAATGAGAACAAGCAGCACAACACAGTCCTACCCATTTACAATGAGCAACAACGGTCTCCCGTCCTAGTCAGCAATGCTCTACACATTCCATTTTAATTTCAATAAGGGGGTCAACATACGCTTCAATATAGACTCTAAAGAGAGAGCACTAATGTCTATCCATTGCCATTCAAGCATTTAACCATGGCCATGTAATTACACTGATGCTAATTACAGTGATCGAGTGGATGTTGTTGGCTAAAATAATAGTCTCATACTTTTGTGGGAGCTGGTGGGGGATCTGATCAAGGTGAGTGGAGATAATGACAGGGCAGCACGCTGAATATGTACTTCATAACTGTTGGAAGTTAAGTTATTAAACATGACTACTATGGGACAGTAGGAATTATTGCAGTTGCTGGAAAGAACATTGTAAAGCCTGGAGCTTATACTACGCAGTGCAAGCTTTTTGACCAATCAGATCCGCTCTGAAAAAGATCTGATGTGATTGGTCAAAAGACCAATTAGTGGAAAAAAAGATCAGAATTGGGCTGCCTGTGTAAACACAGCCTTTGTCACCAGATCTCAACCCAATTAAACACTTGTGGGAGATTCTAGCGTGGTACCTGAGACAGCGTTTTCCACCACCTTATACAAAACACCAAAAGAGTTCCAGACACTTAAAGAATCTATGCCAAGGCGAAATTAACTATTCTGTCTCGTGGTGGCCCGACGCCCTATTAAAGTCACACACATCGTTCAGCGTGCTGTGTTTTAGGGACCAACCACTATAGACGTGTGACTTGACATTTTCACTTGATTCTACATGTAAAATCGGTGTGTATTCAGTTCGCAAATTACGGCTGGCACTCTGTTCAGAGATGCTAAGTACTCTCTGCCAGCAAACGCTGTTGGCGTGTCTGAGCCCTAAGACACTTTGTGTTGCTCTTTCCTTTATTTTGCCAGCCATAGTATGTAGAAGTAATATGGATCCTTATTCTGGATGAGCTTGAATTTGTTCTAGGCAATATTAAATATTTTATAACATTGCATATAAGGCTCCATTGATAATCTCATTGATCTTTAAAAATATTTAGTCTTTGTCGGATTCTGCAGTGGGATTCTGCAGTCTATGGTGTTAGCACCATAACCTCTATAAAGCATTATACTACTTCAATAATTCACAATAATGTCTGATATGCAGTCAGGCATCTCAATTAGAACCCTTGAAAAGCCGTCAAAATAACTTGACTCTTCTAAACAGCCCTTGTGTCTTATTCATGGCATCATGTGATCAACAGCTTTAATTAGCCATTTGATCATTCAAACAGGATTTAATTAATGCTGTTTTCCCCTTTTTATTTCATACACTCTGGAGCAATGAGCATGGCTCCGGGCGAAGCTCGAAACATAATGCTCCCGCTCTTATTCGACTAAAACGATTTACCCTATGCTCCCTTGGTTGGATATCAGATGAAGACAAAGCCTGTGCTTTAGCGCCTGTATCAGATCTCACATAATTCCCTATGGCTTGAATACAACATTCTCAAAATGTTTATTATGAGTTGAGATCAAATGTTCGACCAAGGACACTTGAAGGGAGATTATTGGCTTACAGAAATATGCACCTTCTCAGTAACTTGACATTTGACAGTTTGTGAAGGGGGATTCAAGGACATCCACATCATGGAAAGAAAGGACACATTCACAGTTGGGCTGTACAAATCACCCATAAGGTGATACTACAGAGGTCTGTTGTTGCAGATTCGCCAAAGGTCGAACAGGAAACGTGTTCCTGGTTGAACCTTGAATTTCTCCCTTCCCAGTAGAGGCCCAGGGTTTCCATGACAACCGTGTGAGATTTAAGGTGCACCTACAAATCTTAGTCAACAACTCATGAAAGGTCGCTACACTAAAGGGTATTGTTCCGTCATTTGACTTAATTCTGGCAAACTGGAGCTTTATTCAAATGTCACCATCCCAATCAGAGGAACGACTTGTATGCCACTAAGTATAGTGTTTAGCCCTTTCAACAACACAACATACACCCAACTAGCTTCTTTGATAAGGATTGTCATTTAACCTTTTCTCATCTTTATTTACGCTATATCTAGTTCCATCTCTACATTGTAGTCAGTGGATCCCTACTCCTACATTGATTTGCTACAATTACTTATTCTTGCTCTGAGCTCAATAGATGGATCACTGAGTCATCCACAGATACAGGGCAAGTTATTCTGATACCTCCCTTGGGGAATGTACAGGGACATTACACAGTCTAAAGCAGAGCGACAGGGAGTCTCCCGCTGCATCAGTGGATACAGGCTACGGACTAGGGCCGGGACGATACCAGAACCGCGATACTCATTAGTATTGTGGCAAGGAAACAAAACACAAAGCGGATTCAATTTCTTTAGGTAAACAGCCCTAATGTTTGAAACAAACATCATTATGTCGTCATCCAGAGTCACATTTGTTTATTTTCTAAGCTATAGCACACAATATTTTACATACAGCAGGTTTTTAAAGGACCAACGAGTTCGGTCTGCTTCGTCTTTTCATTTTTGCCATGGAAAAAATATTGTGGTACTGGTATCGTCCCAGTCCTACTTCTGACAGAGTGAGCCTATAGCATAGTGACCAGTTTAAACCCAATGGACCTATGACTCAACCATAGCTCAGAGGGAAGTGTCCCTTTTGACAGGATGTATCAACCAGACCAGTTACATCATTTAGCAGACGCTCTTATCCAGAGCAACTTACAAATTACCCTGTTCAAACTTTCAGCAATGCGACAAGGCAGCTTATCTAGAATACCCGTGAAGTAGCCCACTCATGCTAGCTCGAGAGAACTCATGTCAAGTGTGGGAAATAGAGTTGGCGAAATGAAAGTTAGTAATGTGACTCATGAAATATTCATGAAGCTAAGTTACAACATCACAGGTTCAATTTCATTATATGCTTTTCCAAAACAAAGACTGGGTTGTTGGGAATGTTTTTTCCCCAGTGCACAATTTAAGCTGCTCAAGCGGTATCACTATATGGCACAACTGCAAAACACCCATAAGGCAATGCAATCTCCCCAATGTCCCCATGCAATCTCCCTGAATGCCCAATCTCTGACTATGCAGCATGTAAAATAAATACTTATTATTATAACAGTTTAATTTGTTAAAGCTGAATGATTGCCAATAAGGTTCAGCGTACCTCTGAGCTTGTAAAGCTCGCCATTGAATGAGTTGACGATAAACATGTGTGGTGCCTCATCACTCTGGACAACCGATGCACCAATCAGAGGCAGGGAGCCCCTGGGCTTCTGGCTCTTGCCCTGTTCATTTACAAAGTACTGCAGCTGTCCCAGCTCTGGATCCAGCACAAAGTACCTGTAGGAGAGGGTGAGAGAAAGGGAGGGGTAGTGAAAGAGAACAAAATAGAAGGGAGGGAGAGAAACATTTATATGATCATTTATTTTCATGTCCTCATCATTTTTTAATTTTACCTTTATTTAACCAGGTAAGCCAGTTGAGAACAAGTTCTCATTTACAACTGCGACCTGGCCGAGATAAAGCAAAGCAGTGCGATAAAAACAACAACACAGAGTTACATATGGGGTAAACAAAACATAAAGTCAAAAATACAAACAGAAATTATATATACAATGTGTGCGAATGTAGTAAGTTATGGAGGTAAGGCAATAAATAGGCCATAGCGCAAAATAGTTACAATTTCGTATTAACACTGGAATGATAGATGTGTAAAAGATGATGAGCAAATAGAGATACTGGGGTGCAAATTAGCAAAATAAATAACAATATGGGGATGAGGTAGTTGGGTGGGCTAATTTCAGAATGGCTGTGAACAGGTGCAGTGATCGGTAAGCTGCTCTGACAACTGACGCTTAAAGTTAGTGAGGGAGATAAGAGTCTCCAGCTTCAGAGATTTTTGCAGTTCGTTCCAGTCATTGGCAGCAGAGAACTGGAAGGAATGGCGGCCAAAGGAGGTGTTGGCTTTGGGGATGACCAGTGAGATATACCTGCTGGAGCGCAGACTAAGGGTGGGTGTTGCTATGGTGACCAGTGAGCTAAGGTAAGACGGGGATTTGCCTAGCAGTGATTTATAGATGACCTGGAGCCAGTGGGTTTGGCGACGAATATATGTAGTGAGGGCTAGCCAACAAGAGCGTACAGGTCACAATGGTGGGTAGTATATGGGGCTTTGGTGACAAAACGGAGTGTTGTTGTATGGCGTTGAAGCTCGTTTGGAGGTTTGTTAACACAGTCTCCAATCATGGTTTAATACTTCTATTGCTTTAGCAGTAATTGCAACTGCTAAGTAATGCAGTCACGATACAGCGAGAGAAAGCACACATACAGGATGGGAGGAAATCCACCACTAAAATTCCTCACCTTTCATGTAAAAAGCTTGCCAGATATTCACTGGAGCTCTTCATTATAGAAGCTTCAGCCACATTCCTGAGCGTATTAAGAAGTGACATCAACACCTACCCACCGACTAAATCCCAAACTACCCAAGACGTCATTAGAGTGTATAAGGTACCTTGAGTGGAGCAGCTGGAGCCCACAGCTCGCGGAGTGAAAATTAAAACAGAATCAGACAGGTTTGTAACCTTTGTGATTAATGAATGGCTTCTACCTTAGGCCTAATTGAATTTCAGTCTGAGAGCCTGCAACTTGACACACACAGAGCAAGTAAAGGATATACACACACCAGTCCTGGCTATGGGACAGTACCAGTCTGTCACCTATTGGACTGACTTGTCACAACAAAGCATTCATGACATAGATAGTGTTACGCTGTTCGGTTGGCTTTTCATTGTACAGCCATCTAAACCCGGAAGTGTTGTTAACCGGAAATTATCTTGCTGCCGATCAATCGTCTTTTTCCATGCACTATTAGAGAAGCAGCTCTATTGACCAGGCTTTGGAACAAGCCGTGTGAGCACTTCCTTACAGGTCAATAACACCCACAGACAAAAACAACACAATCCTCCACACTGCTACAACCGGAACCACACTGCTACAACCGGAACCGAGAGCATCATCATCATCATCATAGACCGTTTTCACATTGACAATAGCAAAGGCACATTTTCGAGAGGTTCTCGAGAGGTATCGATTCTCGAGAGACAATACGTCTCGAGCACTACCTTCGGAGATCGCGCACGGCACTGGCCCGACAATTGCCCCCCTTTTGAGCAGAGCAATGTAAACAGAATTGTCTCGTTGAGCTCAACACTACTACAGTAGAAATGGTAATAGCAGAGCAATGTTTTTGAAACAGCTGAAATGTATAGACATTTTCCTTATATTTGAGGCCTGCTTTATTGAGTTTTACCTGAAATTGCAGCCTGTTACATTCTGAAATTGTCGCAGTAGCTTCTGGATGCACTGAGCTACGTAAAACTATGGAAGCCCATTCCGCCACCATTTTTTAAAATGTTGACACTATTTCAAAATGTTTAGATATGTGAGTGAAATGTTTTTGATAGTAGATCATACAAATATATGTGTTTTCATTTGTAACATTGTGTGATGATTTCTGAGGTGGCACCACAGGTCCCAGAGTGGTGGGGGGGGGAAATAGTTTTGCTGGGGCCCAGAGTTTTTCCTGATCTGGTAGGCTAACTTAACCAGGTAAAACTCCAAACCCTAGTTGTATGGTAGGACATAGTAATAAATCAGCTGTAAAAAAATATATATATAAATCAGGTCATATGGTTAAAAACAAAATCCTGGAAAATATCCCTAGGGAGAATGAAAACAAAGTCCTGTCAAACAAATCATGAGGCGAATCAGTCAAAAAAGCAGCACTTTGTCCCTCTTTTTAACGTTTGCGTCAGTATTTTTTATTAAACCAAATCAAAAATGTTGCTGTGCTGATCTCTGCAACATGGATAGCTAGAAATCGGCACACAAAGCTAAAAATGAAGAAACATAACCTATGCATGATATACACAGTGTACAAAACATTACCAACACTGTGACACTCTGGCTCTAGGACTTTTGTATGTGAGCTAGAGTGTATGTTGTTTTGTTGGGGATTTGGGTGTTTTTCTATGTTGGTAGTTCTGTTGGGTGTATTTCTATGTTTGCAGGTCTGTGGGTTGTTTTTCTAGGTGGTTGTATGTTGTAGTCAATGACTCCCAATCGGAGGTAACGAGTGTCAGCTGTCGGCTCGTTATCTCTGATTGGGAGCCATATTTAAACTGTCAGTTTTCACCTTGTGTTTGTGGGTTTTTGTTTCTTTGTTGCTGTTAGTCGTTATCAGTATAGAACTTCACTTTCGTCTTGTTTGGTTTGTTATTTTTCGTGGTTCTTTAATAAAGTCATCATGTTCACTCGCAACGCTGCGGATTGGTCCGCTCCTTTAGATGATCGTGACAGAAAACCCCACCATAAAAGGACCAAGCAGCGTAACAAGCGGCAACAGGACCTACCTACACAGGAGTTATGGACGCCTCCTAAGGATTTTTGGACATGGGAGGAGATTCGGGCTGGAAAGGGTCCTTGGGCACAACCGGAGGAATATCACCGCCCTCGTGAAGAGCTGGAGGCAGCCAAAGCCGAGAGGAGGTGGTATGAGGAGGCAGCAAGAAGGCGAGGCTGTTGGCCCGTGGACGAGAGGCAACCCCAAGAAATTTTTTGGGGGGGGCACATGGCTTGGGCGGCTGGGCAGCAGGAGGCTGCCACAGGGAGAAAAGGAGAGAAGGCTAACGGAGTACGGGAGCCATTGGCGAGTAGAAGGAGGGAAGTGTGTGTGGCACGGCGTGAAGGACTGATGTGTGTTGCCAGTCCGGTCCGGCCCGTTCCTGATCCTCGGTTGAGCCCAGTGGTGTGTGTTCCCGGTACGGACCGGCCTGTTCCTACTCCAAGCACCAGGTCCACGGTGTGCTACGCCAGCCCGACCCGGCCTGTTCCGGCCACTCGTACCAGGGATTCGGTGCGCGTCGCCAGCCCAGCCCGGCCTGTTCCTACTCCACGCACCAGGGAGACGGTGCGCTTCGCCAGCCCGGCCCGGCCTGTTCCGGCCACTCGCACCAGGGATACGGTGCGCGTCGCCAGCCCAGCCCGGCCTGTTCCTGCTCTCCGCACTAGGCGTGAGGTGAGTCCCCAGGGTCCAGCATGCCCTGTTCCGGCTCCCCGCACTAGGCGTTATGGGAGTCCCCAGGGTCCAGCATGCCCTGTTCCGACTCCCCGCACTAGCCCTGAGATGCGTGTCCTCAGCCCGGTACCTCCAGTTCCGGCACCACGCATCAGGCCTACGGTGCATCCCCAGGGCCAAGCATGCCCTGTTGCTGCTTCCCGCACTAGCCCTGAGATGCGTGTCCTCAGCCCGGTACCTCCAGTTCCGGCACCACGCATCAGGCCTACGGTGCGTCCCCAGGGTCCAGCATGCCCTGTTGCTTCTCCCCGCACTAGCCCTGAGATGCGTGTCCTCAGCCCGGTACCTCCTGTTCCGGCACCACGCACCAGGCCTACGATGCGCCTCAGACGGCCAGAGTCTGCCGTCTGCCCAACGGGGCCTGAACTGCCCGTCTGCCCAAAGCCTGCAAAGCCGCCCGTCTGCCATGAGCCATCAGAGCCGTCCGCCAGACCGGAGCCGCTAGAGCCTTCCGCCAGACAGGATCAGCCAGAGCCTTCCGCCAGACAGGATCAGCCAGAGCCTTCTGCCAGACAGGATCAGCCAGAGCCTTCTGCCAGACAGGATCAGCCAGAGCCTGCTGCCAGACAGGATCAGCCAGAGCCTTCCGCCAGACAGGATCAGCCAGATCCGTCAGTCGGCCATGAGCAGCCAGATCCGTCAGCCAGCCATGAGCAGCCAGATCCGTCAGCCAGCCATGAGCAGCCAGATCCGTCAGCCAGCCATGAGCAGCCAGATCCGTCAGCCAGCCATGAGCAGCCAGATCCGTCAGCCAGCCATGAGCAGCCAGATCCGTCAGCCAGCCATGAGCCGTCCAGCCAGGATCCGCCAGAGCCGTCCAGCCGGGATCCGCCAGAGCCGTCCAGCCGGGATCCGCCAGAGCCGTCCAGCCGGGATCCGCCAGAGCCGTCCAGCCGGGATCCGCCAGAGCCGTCCAGCCGGGATCCGCCAGAGCCGTCCAGCCGGGATCCGCCAGAGCCGTCCAGCCGGGATCCGCCAGAGCCGTCCAGCCGGGATCCGCCAGAGCCGTCCAGCCAGGATCCGCCAGCTAGCCAGGATCCGCCAGAGCCAGCCAGCCAGGATCCGCCATTTAGTCCGGTGCTGCCCCTTAGCTCGGTGTTGCTCCGTATCCTGGTGCTGTCCCTTATCCTGGTGCTGTCCCTTATCCTGGTGCTGCCCCTTAGTCCGGTGCTGCCCCTTAGCCTGGTACTGCCCCTTAGT